TTGTGTGAGGAAACACTTCTTTATTTTATTCGTCTTTATGCAATGATTGAGTTTCTCTGTATTTGTAACCATTGCATTCCACTTTGAGTATTTGGCTTTTTCCTAGTTGAATAAAATATTTGTATAATCATTTCCGATTCAACAGGGAACAATCCTAACTTCTGCTCTCGTGAGTCTCGTGTAATCTTTAATTCTTTATTGGCATCTAGAAAAATTCTCTATTCTCTATTCGCGGTGGAAAAATCACACCATATTTCGAATGTTTTTCAATGAGCAAGACTGATTTTATGGAAAAAATACTAAGATGTTCATCACGATGGATAAATGCACGGACATTATCAAAATCATGAAAATCACGATTTAATTTTCATAAATATAGATAAGTAATTTATATGAATAAATTTCAGGGAACGTCAATATCTTATTGTATCTGAATACATATCTGCAAGAATCTCGAGTATTAATTTTGAAGATAAGGCGAACTATTCTTTTTTGTGCCATGAAAACTCTATTGCTACTTGTATCAAAATTGTTCAAGTAGATTGAATTAATTCCGGTATATATGATTGAGGATTAGACCAAATTTCATCGCTGCTGATTGAACCTTCAAAGCTACAATTTACTGGCGTCCAGGCGCCATTTTGAAAAATTCATAATTGTTATAGCAATCGAAATGGAAGCAAAAAACGTTGATTTCAGAGAATTATCATCAGGTTCACCTACCTATACTTACTCGTTAGGAATATTCCCAATATCTTCGTGGATGTCTCTCTTGAAGAACAAAAATCTATTTTTTGTATCATGTGGCAAATCCCAATTCATTTTAAAAGTGTAACCACAAGCAACAACTCTGTTGTAGTTCAAAGTGTTCAGCTTGCCATTATACCGGAACTATAAAAGTATGGAGAATAATTGATTAATGAATTTACGATGCATGAATTTCAGATTCGATTTCATCAATTTTAACTTTAATTAGGTATTGAAGCTATTCTGGATATTATTGAAATATATAGGTTTGTATGCGTTTCGTTATATTCTTCAAGTTTTTATCAGAATCTTTGGAGAAAATAAATAATACGATGCGATAGTTTTCAATAAACTTCACAAACCTCAATCATTTAGTGACATAATTGTTGTTTGAGGACAGTTCAATATGTTGATCATCACCTAGTCAATAGGAAATTGGGCATCAAATATTCATATTTCAGTAATGAATGTGATAATTCCGAAAATTTCAAAACCATTTCGAGAGCACAGATGGTTCGATATTTTTTTCATTTCAAATAATATAAGAAAAAATTTCCTCATAAATGGTAAGGGGGTTTTGATTGTTTTTCAAATCGCACAGCCTTGATTATCTTCCTGTAAATATATAATGATAATTTTTTTTTCTTTATTGTACAGCACCCACCAGAAATGTATTTACAGGGTCGGAGAATTAAAGGTACAAAAAAATAGATACGACAATCAACGAAATGAACATTCACATATAGAAACTGAAAAGAAATTGGAATTCAGTTAAGGCAATCGTAATTTATGATATGAATCAAAATTGATCTAACAATTTTGTTTGTACGTTTCATGACGCTTATTTCATAGCTATCCTTGGAATTATACCTACTGCCACAAGTCCCGCACAAAAGGTCTCATCAGACCTTTGAAGAATGTTCGAGAAGTCAATCGCACAATTCTCAACTTCAAAGCAATAATAGAAAAAAATTAACTCAATGGGTTTCTTTAACGTGTAGGAATGTGATTTTCATTTTTTATTCATCTCTTGGAGCGCACGAAAGGAAATTCTCATAATGTTCGAAGAATATTATATACTTACAAAATATTTGCTACTTTTCGTGAAAACGACATGCCTTCTGATTCTAGATTTAGAAACTTCATTATTAGCAAACACTACTACACAGGCAAACAGATAACTGATCAAAATTGAGAGTAGGGGAGATGCGCTTTTACGAAAACAAGACATCATCGTAAGTTTGACAGGTGATTTTCTAGAGTGTAATTTTTTTTAAAACGTTCGAACGATATTTCATTATGAAATGCCGTTAAATTTGTGTAACTGTCTTAGTTTCAATATTTGATTTGGGGACTATCGGTTACATCATAATTTTGTTCACACACTTGTTGATATTCATCAGATGTAAGAAATATTCAAATAGCCTTCCTACCGCGTTACTATACGTTTGTGATACAAGGTGTCTTTCAAAATATGAGACGCTGTGAGCTGTGATTTTTTTTTCATCTCTTGGAGCCCACGAAAGGAAATTCCTATAATGTTCTTCTAGGGGTTCTTCAGTGCAACAGTAGAAAACATTTGAGTAGTGGGTCCCATGTCCAGAAAAGTGTCACTACGGCCTTAAGATGCGTTAAAATTTTGAAAGACGATGAATTGCTCAGATAGGATTTGATACATTTAATTTTTTCCTATCACTATCAGCAATAACCTTTCTTGGGAAAATCACGTGAGATCTATTGCTAAAAGTGCATCCCAAAAGCTTGGTTTTCTATTTCGGGCCAGGAGCTATTTCACTTCCAGTCAGCTGCTTATGATCTATAAGGCACAGATCCGACCTGTCTTGGAATACTGTTCCCATATTTGGAGTGCAGCACCCAAACAAACCCTGAAACTGTTGGATTCTATCCAAAAAAGGGCAATTCGTCTTGTGGGTGATGCCTCGCTCACAAACTCACTCACTTCTCGGGAACACCGTAGAAAAGTTGGCGATTGGCTCTATTTTATAGATATTTTCATGGACGATACTCTTCTGAAATATCAACAGTTGTTCCTCCCTTGGCAAACCCCGCGAGATTGACCCGTCGAGTTGAGGCTTAGCACCCCTTCGTGGTCACTTTGTAGACCTGCAGAACATCTCTTTCCAAAGACCCGTTCATCCAACGAACAGCAAGGCTCTGGAACACATTGCCAAGGGAGGTGTTCCCCGAGGCATATAACCTCCAGAAATTCAAGAAGAACACCAATTCCTACCTTATTTTCCTTGGTTCTCACGATGTTCTCTGAACATTACAGGATATCCCTTTTCGTGGCTTCATCGGTCCATAAAACAAAGCTTGAAAAAGTTGGTTTTGCACCAATTTGATGAATAAGCCATTGACAAAATTGAACTCTAGGATGATAATCGGCTGCAGTCAATCCTTGAACTTTCTGAAACTGGTAAGGATAAAGTTGTTGCTCCTGCAGCACATGCCACAGTTAGTCGTATTCATATCCTCAGCAATGTGACGTGTGCCGTGTGCTACTCAATGAACTGAATGTAAACAACTTGAGTTAATTGGTGCTACTTGATGATTCGTCGGCAGTAACACCAGTCATACATGTTGGCTTCACCCTTCCATCATCAATTCGTTGTTCGGAGGTTTTACCTTTGTTTTAAACATGCTTGTCTTGGAGAGCCGCCGATACTTTTTGTATCGCGGATGCTGTCGTTATCGGGATAACGTTCTTGATACTATCGCGCTGAAGCTCGTGCATGGCAGTAAAGGTTTCTATTAGCAACAATTAATATTTGTTAATTTCTTGCAAACTTCACAAATATTATAGCTCGACCAAGGCGATATGGAATGCAGCTACAAAAATCAATATCTGTTATCGTTTTCAAAGACCATCCATTTATCTCAATGTGGTCAAGAATGTTTCGAAGAGAAAGAGGAAAAAACCCACCGACCGACTTTGTAAAATGGAACAGTAGTAGTAGTATTGTGGGGAGGCTGTAGCCAGGCAAGTAGGCCTCCATGGACCCTTTTTGCCAACCCCTGCTCTCCACATATCTACACATCCCTCTTTTAGTTGCCCTTTTCGAACCTTCCCGTCCTTCTGATGAAGGTCAGGATGTCCGTCCACTCTAATTCGACCAAATCTTTCTCTTGTAGTTTATCTACTCCAAAGATTTCGAATCTCATCCTTCCATACGCCTCACACTCTCCGAGGAAGTGAAGTGATGTCTCCTCATCTTCTCCGCATTCACGGCAACTGGGACTATCTTCCACACCTATTAGTGATAGGTGTCTGCGTAACCTGTTGTGCCCTGTCAGTACCCCTATAAGAAGGCGCAGGACTTTGGCTTTGGCTTGCTTGGACCGGCCACCAGGTCTCTCGATTGCCTGCAGCCGCCTATACGCTTCCAATATCCTTCTAGTGCCTCTTCCGCCCATTTGTTAAGGGCAGACGAAGTGTGGCTTCTTGTTATGCCCAGTGCAGGCTCCGGTCCCCAGAACGGTGTCGCGGATCCGATCCTAGCCAGCTCGTCCCCGGGCACCCCCCTGTGACCCGGAACCCATACTAGTTCGACTTCCTTCTGTTCAGCTAGTTTCTCAAGAGCATCACCACATTCCTGCACCAAAGCTGAGCTTGGTTTAGGATGGCAGATAACCCTGAGAGCCGCCTGACTATCCGAGCAGATGTAAATCTTCTGCTCTGTGTAAAACGGAACAAGAAAATTTATTGATTCTTGAGAAAATATTAAGGAAATCGCAAGAATCCACGAGACATCTGAAACCCACAAAATCGTCAATTCATTACAACTAGTCCTGTAAAATTTGTATTACGGTACTCCAATAGGTACTGTAATAAATTATTTACCGGCGTAAATCAACTAGGTAGACATGTAAACGTATGTTTTACGATACAATAGGTATGAGATAATAATAATTTTTTATCATTATCAAAAGCCATGAAACTGGCAGATTATGAAGTCTTCACATGAATCATTTTATTTAAGTGACCATGCAAATACCCAAACATCAATCTCGTTGATGAGTAAATCAATCAACTTTTGTGGTTCTCAATATTATACAATTTTCACTAAACATCCTGAATTCACAGTCTAATACTAAATCAAACATTTATAATTATCACTCAAACAAATGATCTACATCTTGACCAAGTTTACACTTCATTTTTCATCTAACGGATTTCTTTCAAACTGGATTCGAAGAAGGGGACTGACAACGACTAACACTTCTCAACAGAAATGAATCTCCTATTGAATTTTATTTTACTGAGTTTGTTCGTGTCTTCGTTTGGATTAAATGATGTTACGGTGGTAAACAGGAAAAATGTGTTTTTGAATAGAAAGAAACGATATCTGACTTTTCCACCTGGGAGTAATTTTGTGGTAAGACCTAACTTGCTCATTAATTAAAATCTACCCCAAGGAAATTTCGAAAATAATATCTCCACTATCTTTAGCTAGCTTCAGAATTCATTTTTTGCTTTCCAAGCAAGCCCGGGCAAAGTGTTGATTGTTAATTCTTAATTCCTAATTTTTAATTCAATTGAATCTTCAAACCCAGCATCAGTGTTCAATATAATTATCGCAACAGTACATAAAACTATAGGAAGGTATCTAAAATCAATATATCAGTGCAAAGTTACACTTGAAAGGATCGGTGAATTTTCAATTGCAATGTTGCATGAACTTTGAAACTTCTTTGAGTTTGTAGAAAAGCATGCATGACTACAACAATATTACTGCAGTTATGAGATACAGTACATATTTGATCAATGTGTCAACAATCGCGAGAAGCCATTTTGTGAATTGCCAACACGCAGTCATTGTTGAAATATTACCACATATTACTTCATTGAATTCGTGGGATTTCACAGCTTGCTCCCCTTTGCTTTGGATGATGCAGCTTCAGAAATTTTCATTCTATACTGAATACTTTCGGAGAAACAATGTTGCCGAAATTCTCAAAATTCTGTATGTCCATGACAAACATCAACTTGTCGAAACTATTGATGATGGATGACTGTTGATTCTTGAGGGGGCTTAGCCTCCGTTGCCTCTTTCGATTACAGTGTGACAATTCAATGAAACATCTCCTTTAACGAAAATGAATTTTCATATTTTTTTGTGTATAGATTGAATTTAGTGGCCCAAAAGCTTTTATTCAACGACAACCGTCCGGATGGAATATGGTTGCAGAAATGGCTTGCCCGTTTGCTTTGCCCAGTGACACCAGAATGTTCAGACGAAAAAACTGGATCGATAGAACCAAAAGAGAAATGCGCTCCTCACTTGATCAAGGGCTGACCAAGTAAGCAGGATTTTTTTCCACTAACAAAGTGAATATCATCATAAGTAATATATCACGACGATGTTCTGAATATCTCTATATACAGGGGTGCATCTAAATAACGCCGAAAAATTATTAATTTATTGTCAGGAGAAAGTATATGGGAGCAAAAATCAAGAAATTCAATATGGCCGATCCAATATGGCGGACGAGTTTTGTAATTATGATGCGATTCTATTCAAAATTTGAGTCTAAGGGTTTTCGGGGTCGAAGTATATGATTTTTTCGTGAAAGTTGGGAAATTCAAGATGGCGGATGAGTTTTGTAATTATGTTCCGATTCTGTTCAAAATTGGTGTCTGAGGGTTTTTGCTGTTTTTTTTTTTTATTGCTTGGAGCGCACGAAAGGGAATCCCTATAATGTTCAAAGAACATCGCGCGTTCCTAGGGAGGATAGGGACAGGAGGTAGGTATTGGATTATGATTATGATTCTTTCGGCAAATTTTGGAGATTCAAGATATAGGTAGTAATCCAATATGGCGAACGAGTTTATCAATTAGGATCCGATTCAATTTGAAATTGGTATCTGGGGATTTTCGGGGTCGTAGATAATGATTCCTTCGTAAAAATTAGGGAATTCGAGATGGCAGATCCAATATGTGACGAAGGATATCTTTGTTATTATAATTCGAATCTACTCAAAATTGGTATCTGGGGATTTGTTCAAAATTGAGAAATTCAAGATGGTAGTGGAATCAATATGGCGGGCGAGTTTTGTAATTATGATCCGATTTTATTCAAAATTTGTATCTAGCTAAGGGTTTTAGGGGTCGGAGATTTTGATTCTTTCGTCAAAATTGGGAAATCCATAATAGCGGATCCAATATGGCGGGCGAGTTTTGTAATTGAGGCCCGATTCTATTCAAAATTGATATCTGGGAATTTTTGGGGATTAGAAATCATGATACTTTAGCCAAAATTGAGAGATTCATGATAGCGAATCCAATAATTATTATGGTCCAATTCTGCAAGATTTGGAACGCTGCCTAGAGTATCAATATCGTGATTTACTCCGTTTCATACAACTGTCACTGACAAGCAAATGAATTTTCGAACACATCAGTGACATTTTAGGGCGATTCATCTGATTATTTGTTCTTAATATACACCTATATTGAAATAATACCCCCATATTTTCATTTTATAGAGACAAGGAGAGGAAATCCCAAAAAACCTGGAATAATGTACAGGGTGGACCAAATTGGACAATTTTAAAGGGAAAGTCCTATTCCCGTACTAGACAGGAAAAAAACTGATGGTGCCTGTGGATCAATTCACATGGAAAACTCAATGGTGAAAAATGCATATCGATATCTATCTTCTTTTCAGAGCTACAAGGTGTTTTTCGAAAATATGAATTTTCAGAAAGTGGCTGAAATTCAGTTTTGTCTTTCTTCGTTTCCATAAGAACAGTTCCAAAGCATTGTGTTTGTCATGAAAATTGATCCTCAGGCACTGATGAAATCAGGCACCATATACTTAGTTTCAAAATAGAACATTTTCCTTCAAGAAGAACAAGTTATACATTCTTGAACAAGATATAGGAAGCCCGATATCAGTGCCTCCGAAATGATTGTCGTCACAAAGTCAATGCCTTGCAGTTATTTTAATGAGAACATACAATTTTTGCCAAAAAAATATTTGTGACCACTTTTCAAAAATGCCCATTTTCGAAGCACACCTCCTGTAACTCCGAAACGAGGACAGATATCGATATGCGGATTTCATCTTTGAGTTTTTCATGAGAATCGACCCTCAGGCACCGACATCAGTTTACTTCTAGTTGGAGAATAGGACTTGCCCTTTGGAAGTGACCATTTTAGCCCACCCTATACATTAATAATTATTTTGTTGTAGGTACTTTTGTATTCGATAAATCTGATCCGCATTTTCAATATTCTGCAAGGTCAGAAATGACGAGGACAGAAATTTATCTTTGTTAAATACGTATAGGTATTATTTCGACAAACTGTTTCTAGTCATTTACCCATTTAGTTTCAAGTGGACCTTTTGAAACCTATTAATTCATACATTTTGCCTGATTATTTGAAATTTTTTCTCCTCATGATTCCATTAATATACATTCCATATTGTATATGGATCCAATAAAAATAAAGAGGTAAGAATTCTGAAAATGGTAACAGAGCATTTTTAGACAAACAATGACAACAAATTTCAAATCAGCACTATATTGAAGAACCCATCACACCAAATTACAACTCACTGATCCTGAGTAGTTTTCGAGAAATGATTAATATTTCCTGGAGATTGTCTCATGATTTTTTTTTTCATAAATTCATAGTTTTTTACTGGTAACGCTGTAACGTTATAGGAAGTTGTAAAGTTCGAAATATCAATTTTCTGAAATTCCAAAACGAAAATTCGGGATTGAAATGTGCGTCTTTGCTTCAATTCAACCAACCCAGTATCTCTCAGGGAGCCGAGATCCTGATATACAGGGTGTTTCATAATTGAATGCTGATCCTAAAGGGTGATAATCGTTGGATGATTTTAAGAAAAATTCTTCATGTGAACATAGGTCCGTAACAGCTTCGTTTCTGGGATACAGGATGTTGAAATTTAACAAAAAAATCAGTTATTCCCCAATATCTCTGAAACCGCTCTGGCTTTTTTCTTCATTACAAATACTTAAAAATAGTTACCATAAAATTATAAAAATATTCCTCAGATCTTTTGGTTACCACAATTGTGAAATTATGACTATAAGAGTAAAAATCGAATAGGGACAAGCAAATGCATGCATTTTATTTTCTAACTCAAAAACCGTTCGCCGGACGAAAAAAAGACTAGCGACCATTTTTATGAGAAGATAGAGGATAATTACAAAAATAATATTGATTTGGAAAAAAGACAGTGGCGTATCATTATTTTGATGAAAAATATGACAGGGTATGTTAACAGGGGCGCCACTGATGGAAATTAAGAAATCCTTCATTATGGAAAAAATGTATTTCTATTCATACTCGGCATGTACCAAAATTGAAGAAAAAAGCCAGAGCGGTTCCAGAGATATTGGGGAATAACTGATTTTTTTGTTAAATTTCAACATCCTGTATCTCAGAAACGAAGCTGTTACGGACCTATGTTCACATGAAGAATTTTTCTTGAAATCATCCAAGGATTATCGCCCTTTAGGATCAGCATTCAATTATGAAACACCCTGTATATGTAAAATATACACTTGAATTTGTATCTATAACCCTATAATGACAACTGAAACCAAGTAATGACCGAGTAAACTATAAATATTATGTCATCGGAAATAATCCTATGACAAATGCATTATTCATTATTGTCTAATTCATACGTTCCAATTCTCATCTGTATATTTGTATTATTTAATAAACAAATCACTGAGTAGTTAATTTATAACAGAAGTTGGGTAGGCATCTGCTATTTTGCTCTATATTATACTGGATTTTTTCTAACCAAATGCATCGTGCTCTGTACTGCACGGGGATTTGCCAATATGCTGCCGGGTCGCGTCTTCTCGATTTTTCATGTTATTCACCGGAAGGAGGATATTAAGGGTGGGAAGTTTTGTTATTGACACGGTATTTTTTGAAAACTGCTCAACAGAAAATGATAACTTAGGGTACCGTCAGAAAGAGAATTGAGCGCTCTTCAAAATGATGATTATTGATCTCCTTTCCATTTGAGATTCCGAGGCTAACATGTACCCCTCACTGGGGGGTTTGACCAAGAGGGCTAAAAATATTTATTTTAATAAGTGTACGTCCCACTTGAAAATAAAATTGAAATGTCTTTCCGATTTCTCATATTATTTACTGGAAGGAAGAAATAAATTGAGAATGTTCAAACTTAGTATAGGCCCGGGGTTACTATATTTTTTTTCCTACAGGAGTGGATTCAATGGAACTGCATGCGTCAATAAAATGATTTGTGATATGAAGCGATATGTACCAATGAAAGGGAATTCCATGATCAAGGATATACTGCTCGCCGTCTTCAGGTAGGTAGAGAGGTAGGGTCTCTTGATGTAAATTGACGTATTTGTCGGTGGAGGTAGGTATATAATAATATATAAAGTCTATCCAAAGTGAATTAATTGGAGCATCTCCCACACCGCGCTGTGTGTTTGAAGTTCCTTTTGAAGTGTGTGCACGTGCAGCTCAAGACGCTCATCCAATTGACTTTGAATAAACTATTCACTATATTCCAGACCTAAAGTTGACACAAAGAAACCTTAACATACCACAGAGTGATTGAAAATTCGATGTGAATATTTCAATAAGGACATATATATTAATTGTGGGGATCAAAATAAGACTTTTTTCTTCATATATGAACATGTGTTCTGATATGCACCTCCACCGTAAGTTAGATAAATAAAAAAGATTAGGTATCTAAAATACATGTCTATAAAAAAACGAGTGATTTATGAGGGTGTGCCACGTACATATAAGCTGAATGAAGAATGGGGAAAATCAAGGCGAGTTGGAGTTGATGTATGTATATAAAAGGTTATTTTAGCCCTTTATAACATGGATTCAGGGTATAGATTCCGGGTAATATGTGAAATTAACCATATAATTTTGATGCCCGCGGCGATATTTCAGCAATGATTCATCGTAATTTCCTGAAATTTGGTAGCGACGTCCCTCCATATTGAAACTTCCCAAGATGGCATATATTATTTTTGAAAAATCCAGATCCGGACTGGGACAACTTAATGTTTTATTGTTATAACAAAAAAAGTTCACTTTATGATCAATTATTCTCGAAACATAGTAACCAATATTATGAATTTCAGCAAGTTGCGATGAATAATTTCTGAAATATAAGTCATCAAAGTTATATATGACAATTTCACATTTATTCCCTGTATATCTTCGTTATAGGGTCGAGGAAACTTTTCATATACGCATAAACCAACTCGTGTTAATTTTCTCTATCATCAGTATCATGTCCATTTTCAATTGGTTATGTCGCCGTCTTCCTGAATCACCCTGTACAGAGGGTGGCTGATGGAATTCGAGTGAGATAATTCGAGCATCATTATTAAGATCTAGTGAATCGTAAGAGATTCGGGGTCGGTTAAGTTATGACAAGTTGCGCAATTTTATGCCCAACAGAATGCCGTTTTGAAACATGAAAAATTTAGGAGCTAAAGGGCTTTCACGCTAGGTTGATAGTTGCGCAATACTTGGTAACAATGTCGTTCCAAAACCGCACATCGAAAAGTACTAGTAACTTTCGAAATGGTCGAACCGCGTTATCGATTTAAGTTGGCAAAACTGTACACCATTTCTAGAAGCGATTTGTTGTGATCAGCTGATTTCTGCGAATTATTCATTACTGACAATTTGTACTTTCAAGGAATTGTCTGTGATTCATTTGTGGATCATTGGTGAAATTTGATTTATTCAAAATGCCTATGCCATTGAGTGATAAAGATGGCCCATTACTTCCACTTACTGCTGTGAGAGATGTAAGTTGAATGATGGTGTTAATAATGATATTTTGTGTTGTCAGAATGATCCAAATATGATTTGTCTAAATTACAGAGAGTAGCTGCTGCATTAGAAATAAGTATCGCTACTGTATGGAGAATATCTGCCAAACAACAGGAACATGGTAATGATTTGGCTGGCCCCAAAAAGAACAGAGAAAGAGAAACACCCATTTTAGACCTGATCATTAAATTTCATATTCAGTATATTGTTTAGGTTCATGATTCTTTAAATACAAATATTGAAGTTCATTTATCAACTTCAAGTGCTGATTTTGAAACATAAATGGACGGCTTTTGAGTTGGTTGCAAAAAAACATTATAGCGTCCGACGATCGTAACACTAGACATATCCATATTCGGGCTGTTGGTCATTCAGTCATTTCCTTCCAACTGGCAACACTGTATGTGTTGACATATTGACGTCACTATCAACTTAGCGTGAAAGCCCTTTAGGTAGGTATACGTACGCGTACCATATACGACGCGTACCTACTATACTGTCTGACAAGGTTGGTAGAATTGTGGGGGGAAGTAGTAATAATTCGTTACCAAAATTTCATTATTGTTGGGATCATTGAAATATATGTATAATTCTAGATCACAGCTGAATAGGTGAATATTCTTGAAGACAGTTGTAGAATATAGATTCCCATGACTCGGAAATTATACCACTTCCCCTATCGAGACAATAACCTTCGTCTCACTCCACATAATCATCAATTCTACCAACCATGATGTCTGATTCTATGGAAGCCATCTCGTGAGAGGTCTGTTTCTATTAAAAATATGTCTACAGTGAGAAATCTGTAATTTCTGCGGAGACAAGAGATTAGTCAACCACAGAGGTTGACGTTGACTAATCTGAAATCCGTATTCCGTCAATTCCGTGTTAGAATTGGTTAGAGTAACAGAACTCATATATTTATTATAATATATGAGTTCTGTGGTTAGAGTTAGAGAGAATATTACGCCATTTAATTTTTATAAAAATCTAAAAAATCGTGGTTTTTAGCACGATCAATGACTGCTAAATATCTATAGATTGTGTCAGATGGTCAGTTTTTAGTGTTGAATGCACGGAAATTATTCGCGAAAATCACGAAGTGTGCAGCCTCTGGTGGCTAACTTTACAAGTCTTGCGAGTATGAACAACAAATATGGCGACCATTGTTTTGAGTTACTGTGTTTTATATGAAAATAATTTATTTGTTGAAGTGCATATTCCAGAACCTCATTTCTCCCTGATGAAAAAACTCGAATTATTGCATGAACTTTTATTGTTTACAATGAAGAAGCCAGTAGGTACCTACCTTATAATAATATAATATACATTTTCTGAAGCACAGTTAGAATTCTTGTATAAATGTTGGTTGCAATGATTCGATCTTGAGAACCAAGTCTTCAATTGCTGGAGATCGTTGTTTATGTAAATCGATGATATTGTTCATTCTGAGCAGCCTTTCCAACCATATCTTCTTTTCCCAGCCCCTTCACTAGAATTCCATCTTCTTCATAAAAGCCAGTGATATTTCTTGATGAATTAAATTATTTCTTCATACCTATACCATATTGTTGTAATAGCTGATTGCTTATATGGCTCCATTCCAGTCCATGCAAGTGTTGAGTGGACCATTCCGACCATTCCATGTGTTTGAAAACTGTGGAATATTGTAGTGTGATATCAACGATGAATACCACCATTGTTCACATCAAAATGGCAATTTCTTTGTACGAAAAGTATACGTAGGTATGTCACGAAGTCAACTCATTATTCCCTATTTTGCAAAATGATTTCGAAATAACCAGTGCATACGGCAATGTTTTTGTTGTTCATACTCAGTTTGGAATTTGACGTTAAATAGAGCCATCTATTGGTTCGTGATTTTCGCGAATTGGTTTTTGATGGAGTTTAGTGACTTGACATAATTTTGAGGTTAGGTTGATGAGGTGCTCCCTGTTGGTAGATTCAAGGGTAAATTCATGTACATATAATAACTTGATCTCGAGGATAGTTGGTTAATTTGAGATAGTTTTGTTATCAATCTATCGATCACCTTTTCTGAACCTATTGTTAGAACTATCGATCACCTTTTCTGAACCTATTGTTAAAACTAAGTTGAGTCATACGTTGATTCACCATATATTCGCGATATACCTCGTTGTAAAATAGTTGAAAACAATCAACCATTTAGTTGAGAAATATTAGGTATATTGAAAGTCGTCAAAGTAAATATGGTTTTTAGAGGAAGACAGTTTCGTCACACACCTTCATATATTACCTGAGTTTGCCTTAATCACGAGTATCTATATATAGTATCAGTAGACCTTTGAAACGGCATGCACGTTCATATACTTTTTCCGCTGTTGATTACCTATATATACCTACTATTAGTATGTAGGTAGTTTATTATTATACCTGAACCCATTCAACTGACGGGGTAAAGGTAGAAGTTATGCTCTACTTGATAATTACTATCATTCTAATCAATTATTTTTGTTTCCCTTGTTATAGTGATGAGGAATTCAACTATGAGGAAGAGTGCCAATATTCCGACTCGAAGATATCAGAATGTCCAATATCAATATTGGATTATGTCCTGAAGGAGTTAAACTTCGATTCTGCTTGAAGGAGTGGATTGTGAATGAATGTACAGCAAGTTATTTCGAACATATTTATTAATAAAAAATAAATGTAGATGTAGAAAGACATAGGAATCTAAGATCTCAGTTGAAGTCAACAACTTATTATTATTAAACAGCCTAAAATCAAATAAAAATATATTTTTCGGCACCTTACCTGCCGATATCAAACCAGCGATTTTTCATTCAAGACTCGTCGGTATAGTTTTGCAAGTACCAAGAAATTTTCCATGCATTAGAGACATCAACAGTGGAAAATTGTTCGAAGGGCAAAACGTGTGAAAATAATTTATTTCTCCGAACGTTAGCCAATAATTTATTGACGTGTGAAGTGAATGCAGTTACCTCCTCAGGCTTGGTATCTAACAGCCCGATCCCAAGATCAGAAAACTCGTCTGTGTCAAGCGCCACAATGGTGAAATCTTCCTCAAGAAGAGATAGAATACCTGAAGACTTTAGCACTTCCACTCTATTTTCAGAAGGTAGAAATAAGTCAGACACAAAAATAACGTATCCGAAAGAAGATATACCAACAAAATAGCACATAATTCTCTTCTTATGCTTATCCTGGAAATATTCATAGAAAAACTTAACGATGACCGAACGACTATGGCAAATTTTCCAATTGAAAGACGAATCGCTCAAAATGTTCTGCCAATGGTTGAGAACGCGGAGTATAGTGCCTTGGCTCATGAAATATCTATGGCTTAGATCTTCTATGGAAAGACCCTGTTTTATTCTCGACAGAGTTATTAGTATTTGCTGCCTTATTTGTGATATATTATAGCTTTCCGGGACCGGAGTAGGATCGATCGCCTTCGCAATATCACAAAAAGAACTGAATTCAAGTTGTCCTCTAAAACCAGTGTAATATCTGATTTCGCTGACGCTCCAATTATTTTGTTTTTTCATAGTTGCCTTGCAGATGTCTAATTCTTTTTTAAAAAGTGCGAGTTTTTCCTTAGTTTTGGATAGGTTTGCATGCAGATTCTCGTTACTTCTAGACAGACTCTTGTTGACTGCAATCTGATTCTTGTTTCCAGTCTTCAAGCTTTCCACTACTGAGCACAGTCGTGTCAGCCTATCATTTTCTCTGTTCAGACGATTTATGTCTTCACATAGAGTTTCTGTTTCACTCTTCAAGGTTTCCACCATTTGACTTTGCATTGCTAGTTTTTCTTTCTCGCCATTGTTAGCATCGGAGAATTTCATGTTTTCAGCATTTTTTTTCAAATTGATATTTTCAATGGTCAAATTTACGATTAGTTCTTTCTCTTCATTTATTCTACGATTTGCCGCCATCAAGCTTTCTTGAAGATGTGCGTTTTCTTTTTCCATTTCAGTATGTGATTCAGTCTGCTGTTGTAACTTGTTTACTTCTTTCACTAAATTCATTATTATTTCTTTTCTCTCCTTGATCATAGCGTTGGCTTTATTAAGCGACTTTTCTAAAACAGAAATCTGGAGTTTCAGAGACACATTTTCATTTTCCATTGATTTGTAATAATTATCATTCAACATCTGAGTCAGTTTGATAACTCTTTTCTTCTTTGGAGGTGCTCTGATACTTGTTGTAGGTTTATTATCCCTTTTGATCAAGTTTATTTTTTCTGCAAGAAAAAAAAACTAGCATCAAGACATACCCAGATACTTGAAGCTGATTCAAATGAATGGAGGTAATGTATGTACGCTGGAGCAACCTTGTTGAATGCCGCCTCCTCCTTATAATACTCTTATGCATTATGTTCATGAATGAAAAATAAAGACACATTATTATTATTATTATGATTGTCTGACAGTAATCAATCTGTAGCATAACCCCGAATCGATGTATATACAGTGTCTTTTTTATCTATATATATAAAATTATGAAGAGGAAAGATTTGATTGTTTGTCAGAAACTAATGGACCGATTTGAAAAATTATTTTTTTCTGTGACGGGAAGAAGGTTGGAAATTTCATTTTCCCGGATATATATAATATTCGCGATATTCACGAAGTGGACGACATCTAGGATACATAATACGAACTTCAAACTGGGGGATAACAAACTCTGGTCTATGGATGAAGTGCATGATTACATTGCATTCAGCTTGCTGTAGCTGTAGTCAAACTTGTCAATGACATAAAGTGTTGGCACTGTTCGTAGTGATGATGGTTGAGTTGGTTAATTTTTTTACATTATTACATTTTTATTATTTTAGTGAATAGTGAACGGGTGAATAATTGGAGATAGTTTAAACAAGTCAATCTAATTATGACGAGCAAATCAATTGACATATGAAAGAACAGCTACAGCATGTTTACAATACCCAGATTGTCCTGCTTTGCATCAACAAATACAAATCTATTGTTCTACAGGAGTTCCTCTGGACCCCAACTTCAATTTTACTTCATGTGTGAAAGATTTCATCGCCGAAGTTTGTAAACAAAGTGCAAAAATGTACCTTCTGTAGAAGTCTTCTGCCTCACACAAAATCACATGATTAGCACGGAGAACTGCTTCTCCTTCCCCTACTGGTCGGCTTTTTCCGTCTAAATGGAGCAAAATATCTGCCAAAAGAACATCTTCAACAGGCATTATTATTAGAGTTTTCGACCGAATATTGACAATTAATATCAAGAAATTCAAAAACTTATCACTCTTATCAGTACCCACTATACAAGCTAATGGCACTAATGGGATCAAGTGAGGATTGAGTTTGTTTTCCCCCAGTTTTGACGTGGCTTTCACATGGAACGATGAAAACCGAGCGCCACCTGTTAACATTGATTCCCGCGAATATATAAACTGTTGATGGCTTTTGTTGTGCTATAGTTTCGAAAAATTAGCCAATAATAACACCGTCTCCTAGAAAGAACTGCAAGTCTTTTTATCTTCCATTCGACTTCGCGGTTACCTAAATGACTTAACAATCACTAAATTCGCAATTTCTTAAAATCAAATCACAGAATTAAACTGACAGATATTTGATTACTTCAAAATGATAAAAAACTTAAAATGTCACGTCGATAATAACTCTCTAATTTTAATGTAATGTAATATTGATTCGTATTTCTTCCTGTCACAGAAAAAAATAGTGTATTATACACGGGAAAAATATTAGATTTATCTCACGGTTTTTTTTACTCCTTTTTCCCTTGTATAATAAATAGGTAACTATTACCATCAGAAGCCGACATTATGCCTACAACTAGGACAAGGGTTGGTCTTTCCCTACTTATCTTATTCACATAAATTCTAAACGGCTGAACCGATTGGGTTGAAATTTCATATGGGTATTTCAATGTTGTCCTGGATGATTTAAAAATACAATTGGACGCGGTAGGTAGCGCTGCTGTATCGGTACGTCAACTACTAAACGGCTTGACCGATTGGGTTGAAATTTTGAATATGTAAAACAAAATAAAATACAAAAGATACTGGGAGAATGAATATAGGTATAAGTATATAATAGTAGCTAAAGGTAAGCACAAAAAATTGAAAAAAGAATAAGAAAAAAAAATGTACTGTAGATACACGCATAGCTCAGAATGACTGTAACAAATGTGTTTTTAAATGGGTCAACAACCGTGCGGAGCCGGACCGGACAGCTAGTAGCTAGTATATTATACAAGGTCTGACAATGATCTTACAATATACAGGGTGTTTGGTTTACCGATATATATCTGGAATGGGGTGATAGATAAGAACATTTCAAACATATTTGACCATATACATGTGTGACAAGAATAATTGTACTATCGAGAAACTGTGTGCATTGGCATTTTAACAGAGAGAGAAAAGCCACATTCCCACAGGCTTTGTATCACGTTAACCCCTCCATCAATGCCACATATGCCATACTCAAGTAGGTGGGTCAACGACTGTTTTTTCCTCTCTTTGTTAAATACCCATTGATCAATATACATATTCCTTACACGGTTTTTCTATAGGTACAGTATTCTTGCCAGACGTGTATATGCTAATATCGGTGTGTCAAATTTCGAGATATCATCGTTTTGTCAAACATTAAACATTGCATCTTTATCTATATCTAATTAGCATGGTGGCAAAATGTGAACCCAACCATCTGCTGATTTCTTTGCACCTTGCATCTCACTTTTATATTATCATCAAATCTTCTCTTTCTAGGGGCTCTCTAGGAATTGGATAATATAAGATCATTGGTATCATGTCATTACATTTTCAATGTAGGAAATATTGAATTAGATTAAAAGGTTATGCATCTTGTGAAATTATCTGCATCCATGAACTTCACAACAATGCAATATTATACAATTGTAGCAACTGCTAATGTATTTTGTGCAACTGAAAAAACTAGTAGTATTATAGGATTCTTGTTATGAAGAGCACCAAACTAGTTATTTCAAAACTATCAGATGTGGTTGAAATAATATATTTTATGATAACAGGCACTGACAATTAATTGTTAATTCAGAGCCAGAATATTCAAAGGAATTTTAGAATAAAAACAAACACATAACAGACTATCAAAAAATGAAATAAAAAAATCTCCCCTACCTTCAATTTTTGATAGTGGCATCAATAAACTATGTTGATTTTCTTGAGGCATTAGAACAGACTGATCATCTTCTATGGCTTTAATGTCATCTCTAGGTTCTTGCTTCACATTGGTGTTGGAGTAATCATAAAACTCTTCTACCAATGGTTCTTCATGAATCTCAATATCATCCTCATCTGCAACTTCCAGTTTTACTTTAACTTCGTCCATAGAAATTGCTCCACTGTGAGCATAGACTTTTGAACCAAAATATCTAGGCAGAATATCACAAGCATCCTTCCTGCCTGAACTACTGAAGTGCAAGCTACATAATCTAGAAGAACTCTTAGGATGCCATTTATTTCCATTCCCTGCTTTTCTTACTCTTTCCATCCACATTTCTTTCAGGATAGGATCAGTTGGAAAGGGGTAAAATTGAATTGTAGTATTTTCATTTCCAGCTTCATTCGTGGAACAATGAGGAATGCAACACAATCTACCAGTACTATTATTATTATTTGTGTTTGAGAACATCATCACAGATTGACCCACTGTCTTGATAAGTAAATAATCACATTCCAAGATGTTTCCAAGCTGGAAAACGGAAAATCTTCATACTTTTCATTATATTTTTATGTTGAGTGGCTTACCCAAGACTTTCCAAGAATATATCAGTTTTATGCAGTAATCTACAAACTTGAAATCTGCTAAAAAAACTTGAAAATAAAGATCACAAAGATATTGTGAATATTGAATGGAAGTGTATAGACTGCCGACCAGACGGCAATCTATACTTTTTTTTAGGCTGCAGACCGTTACTCTTTGTTTAGGGTGCCGATCGCAGACTAGAACTATCAATTTTAAGAAAAAAAAACGATTTTAAAAATAGTTCTAAAAGAATGAGATATACTTACACAATGGTGGATATATGTATGGTGAAATAGCTCCCTCTTACAAAACCCTAGAAATTTTTGTAGTCCTCGGGCCTACTTGATTATGTCACAGAATACCAAGTCGAATTCTATCACCGTAGTAAGGCCGCGCAAAACTAACGCTAGATGGCGCTGTTCCCGAAGTGATCTTGCTACAAAATGGTTGTTTTGTTTTGTTGTTTACATTTACGTATATTAATTCGTAATTTGAAAACATTGAGAAAAAGTGATTGATTCAATGAAAAAGACGTGAAATTTTCATCATATCTGTGAAGTATATGTGGCACGATGTTCCCTACGCCATCTACAGTCAATCCGGTGCGGCCTTGCTACGGTTTTTCGCGGTCTACACGTTTTGGAAAGAAACAATAAACAACTGACAAATGGTTACACCAGTCTATTTTCATCATGACTTACACAAACACACTAAACTATTAGTGGATCAAAAACCTCATCAAAAAAATCTTGTGAAATAACATGGAGGAAGGAAAAAAAATATATTAGAAAAAAAAATATTCAAAAAGTTTTGTATACTCGACCCAAACGGAATAAACGACTAGTGAAACAAAAATCTGATGAAGATAAAATTGATTGATAAAAATTTAAAAAAAAACTGTTTCATGGGGGCTGGAACACGGGACCACAAGAGTGACAAGCCAATGTCTTAGAACTGAGCTACTAACCATCTTGGATATTAATTGATATAATAGAAAGAATGAATTCCACTGAATGGTCGCCAGTCTAGAGAAAAAGTATACACTTTCATATTGAATGAAAATAATACGAAGAATGAGAATACTGAAATCTGTGACTGAATCATGAAGATGAACTAATGAGGAAGTGAGGTAGTGTACATCCAAATTTATCCAAATGCATATGCAGTTGCCATGCTACAGACATATGTTTTTTCGAGCGACCTACGCTGTCAATGTCAAAACAGGCGAGATTTCAACTGACTAGATTTCTTTCTCATTTAGCCGACATTGTTTCAACTCAAGGAGCTAGATTTTGTTGATGAAATAATAGGTCGCGAGCACAATGACCGACCCTGGAGGTAAAATATTGAAACACAACCTCACTTTTCGGTTAAACATTGAAACATAACCTCACTTTTTTTATTTGTTGGAATCGTGTTTTTTGCGCTATTCATTATTTCATTAAGACATTTTGTAATTTCTTATTAAAATTCCTTCTGCCACTTCTGCAATAGAAGCTGATACTGCTGATAGATTGAAAATGTCTACAACACACACGATCATCCGATGAGAAATCAGACATCTGACAGTTCTTGCACGCAACCCATCAACTCACAACAAATTACTCTGTTGCCTATATCTTTGAGTATTCTGTGTACTGAGAGAGTACTATAGATATCATATTATGATTTTTCACGTTTTTTTGACGTTTTCTTTGAAGGCCGATTGCATGAAACATTTGACGATTCAATATCCAATTTTCTGCCTCAGCTCACTTAGCTGATGGAAGAGTTGATTCCTCGTTGAATTAATCAGTGACAAATTAACCTCTTTACCAAGATAGCTTATTATTCCTGATTTTCGAGCGCTCCTCTTTTCAGTTCGAGAATACGGTTTTGTCACAGAATGTTTCGGGCAGTGGACACGCCCACTTTCTCCCGATTGTTCTACTCCCCGATTTTCAAGAATCGCGGCCCAATTTCATGCTTATTCCAAAACATAACACGTCGCTCCACCGGACGGCAACAACTTCAACACATCTGGGCGGTTTGTTTTGATGATTTGATCAATAAGTAGGAACAAAAAATAAATGTGAACCAATAAAAACAGAGTAAACAGGCCGCTTTGACATCTTTCAAGAACTCCGATAGGTGGCGTTTGCTTATTTTCTACCGCGAATAGAAAATATGCGTACCTATCGGGAGTTTTTGAAAGCTGTCAAAACGGTCTGCTTACTTTGTGTTCATTAGTTCACATCTCAGACGAATAAAGAGGTTCACATGTTTTTTTTTGTGCTTTTCGTCACATCCATCAGGAAAAACCGGTAAACCACTCAGAAGTGTTCAAATGTTGCCGTCAGGTAGGGCGAAGTGTTATTTTCTATCGCGAATTATGGAAGTTTCCTCTGATTATGAACATTCGGAGCCCCAACGAACAAAAAAAAAATTGTTGCTACATACCAAAGTATTGAAGGAATCCCTGTAAATTTATGCAGCATCAATTTACAATAATCATCAATAGTAAGTAACAATAATTATATCATATTATCAAGTATAGTAGGAACAATAATACAATGCATGAATAATGAAAAGTAAAAAGGAATGGACCAATCATTGGTCATCTGCGTACTAGTTCCGCATACGTCCAGGGTTCAATGGTTGTGCACAATAAAAAAGTAAGAAAACCTGGTTCATTCAATGTACTAGGAACGTTAAAAGCTGACCAACTTCTACTTGTTATTTGATATATTATGATTATTATTAATTATTTGCGTGCATAGACACTGATTAAATGTATAATTTCAACTCATCATTGATTAATTGATGCTGCATAAATCCATATGGTTTGGCTGTATGACCCTCTGTTCAAAGCAAGTGGCAACACTAGTTTCACCCCATTGCACCCTTGAAATAAATCTATCATGTTTTAACTTTCGTTCTTTATTATTTCTACTTTTGGAAGGAGGAGAGGTATACCTACCTACTAAAAAATATATATGGGTATTTATTTCAATGAAAAACATTAAACAAGTGAAAAATAAATATGAAAATATGCCTATAAGTAAAAGAGTCGTATATGGCATATAGGTACCTGATGCTCAGATTATAAAGAGGGGATTATTATTAAATCTTTCAAAATATACAAATTGATGTATACATAAAGTAGGAATGCTATTATTTCAAAACAAATAACATGATTATACATTATACTCACAGGAAAAAATAAACAAATACAACAAAGTTATTATGACTAGTAGATACTACTAACATTGCAAAGAAAATGTCTTTCCCATCTGTTTTTGTCTTCAGTGCCCCAACGTAAAATAATGAAAATTTTATGTTGGTAACATTGGACATAATTTCCAGTGTTGCCAGCTAAAAATTTTCATTAATTTATATTGGACACTAAGAAGAAGGGCAGAAGACATTTTTCTCTCTTAAAGCTAGCTGAACTGCTCTATTGCTTTTCATTAGAATAAAACGAATAAAGGCTGTAAAACTACCTATTATGGCTTCAATTCTTCACTAATATTTCAAAGGAACTCGAAAATGGTTATTTTATTCAGTTAACACAGTTTTGGTGATTTGTTCATTATTGACAACACATAAATTCGCACCGTGGTTCTAGTTGCAGGAATTTAAACAATTGTTTGTGACAAAATATGACCTCACAGAAATCATAACATTCTTGTCAAAGTGTCATCACTCATCAGAAAGTTTCCAAAATGCACCACTAGTAGTGCGCTTGTAATTTTGCTTCTCCAATAAGAAGAAAATAAAAAAGTATTACTAGTCATAATCTATATGGGTCACTCACTAGGTATAAGAGTATTATTGGACACCATCTGAATGTGCCTAATTCGAATTTAGTAATATTTTTGTAATATTGATTAAAAATAAAGACGTTGATAGCATGTTGACAAAAAAAATTGTTTCATTTACCCTAGCCAGCTTATTCATCAAATTTAACAGCTTTCCTGGAAAACATTATCAGCAGTATATAACTTCAGGTACTCATAGGAAGGAAGACTCATGTTGAATGCTCGTCATGGATATTATTTCCATTTATAATGGGACTTCCAATAGAGTTAGTCATGGGAGAGACTGGGCTCTTGTTTCTCAGCTCAAAAACCTGTTGAATAGCCTCGCGGAAACACAAGAAATTATAGTCTATTATACCTAAAACAAAAGCCTATTGACATTCGAGACGTCACACAAATTGTTTATTAGGAGATGTCAAATTTGAAATTTGTAGATTATTCACCTTGTAATATGTACCTATGTGTAGGAATATTCACCTACTAATCCTACTATACAACTTCGACACTGAACACTCAGATGAATAATACAAACCTTTATTATCGCAATTGTCTTCTCTCAGAATACAAACTAAGGCAAGGAACTTGTTGACTTCTCTCAAATAAAGCACAGTCCCATTATTTAATTTTATCAAACTGGAACTCTGCTCATCAAAAGCTGCCGAATCTTGCTCTTCTTTTACCCTATAAAAATGAAAGCATGACCATTTTCCAAGACAATTGACCATATTATTTTCAAGGATGAGACATTTCATATTGTGATGTTGGCTACATATAGATGTCAATTATTGTGAATAAAATCAGCTCTGCGGTCAAATTTTTTGTAATAATTCTATTAGATCACAAATGAGTGAGAGCCGGTACATCTTTTTGGGCCCTCTGTGCCTTTGTTCTCAAACTAATAATCACAAACAAAAAACAATGCATTCGATATATATGACACTCAATTTGACAGTAGTAGCTGGCAACAAAAACCACAAAATGCTTGATCCTTTCCAAGTGAAATATGGTCAATTCATGCAGAAAAAAATTACCCATATATCCATGAAATGTCAATAACGACATCAATCATATCACAGCACAATTCATAACTTTGCATATCTACAGGAGTCGAATCTGTTGCAATGTAGATTTTCGAAACTACATCAAATAAGAATGATTTCTCAATAGCTGAATTCTGGAAGAAATCAAGAATGAACATTCCCAAAATATTTAGACCTGATAGAAGCACAAATATAAATGTTTATAGCAGGGCGGGTTCACCGGATTCAATGGAGATGGCGGTAAGATCGAATATAGGTTGAACCAATGACGACTAAATGGACTGTCTGACGGGTTATCTCGTCAGGCAGTCCATTTAGCCGTCATTGGTTGAACCTTGATTGAACCAATTTTTATTTCTATATCTGAGTATCTGACAACTCCATTTTGGTTTTTTCAGAGTTAACGATGATTAAAAATAAGCGATACACCCTCTCGCGAATATTCAAGTAACTAATGGATAGGACTGATAGGACATGAAATGTTTGTTTCCATTCGTTTTATCGAAAGTTCAGTAGTCATTGTGATATTTTTGTGGCAATTTGGTTCCATACATTTTCCCGAATTTGATGATCTTTAAAATCTTTGTTTGCATGGTTCTAGATACATGCAAATTCACGAAATTGATCGATTAATAATTTATTGTCTTCATAATTTTTGAGACATTTTCTAATAATAATATTCAACCACTATGCTTTGAATTCAGTAACGTCTGGATTTTACGTTCGCGTCCAGACATGTTTTTGAACAGTCGAGACGCAGTCGCTGACGGCGGGACGTCGAGTCGCGCCGCTTCTAGGAAAACGGTTGTATGGGTTGCGTGCAAGAACTGTCAGATGACCGACGCTGGAGGCAAAACATTGAAACACAATCTCACTTTTCTCATGTTTACAAAAGATTGAAATAGTTTTCCACAATTATTTTGGCATATGAATCGTATTTTTTCGCTATTCATCAATTCGCTCATGCCATCACATTCTGCTGTTGTAAAATGCACAAAAACTGCAGCGGAAGATGAAGGAATCCGGATGGTACATTATGATTTATAAGTAAGTACCTACTATAGTCACTCACATATAGTTTTCATTTTTGAAATTTGGCTTTCTCATCGGAATTCATTCTGCCATAGGAGCTAATAGAAATATACCTGACATTTCTAGTATAATGCAAGAAGATTGGATTCATGCAATCAATCGGGATGACTGGTCTGACATGCTGACGATCGTGTGTGTTGTAGACATTTTCAATCTATTAGCAGTATTAGCTTGTATTGCAGAAGTGGCAGAAGGCAGAAGGAATTTCAATAAGGAATGACAACATTTCATAATAATAACTATGTGAGATTACTATTTACCTGAAAAATCATATTCTTTAGTCTCTTGCTGCAGTTTTTGTGCATTATACAACAGCACAATGCGAAGGCATGCTCGAATCAATGAATAGCGCAAAAAACACGATTCCTATGTGAAAACCCATTTCAATCCTTTGATTCCTCTGTAACCAAATAAAAAAGTGAGGTTGTGTTTCGATAATTCACAGAAGAATGAGGTTGTGTTTCAATATTTTGCCTCCAGGGTCGGTCATCGTGCATGGGACCTATACAGATGCATTATACTATACGTGTCTTTAACTGCCAGACGTAGCGGCAGGCCGTGAACGCTGGACGTCGCTAGAAAATCCCACCTTAAGGGCGAGGGATAATCCACTCTCCCAAAAACGTACAGGGATTGGACAGATATTGGACGTAGGATTGGACTGATATCATCAGATATTATCATATTATAAATAGCAGATTGGACATTTACTTTGGGGGAATAGGAATATTGGGGGCCTAATATTTTATGAAAATTCATGAACAAATTACTTGAATCAAGATAGGAAATAAAGTGCTATGGACAAAATGAAAGACAATGCTTCATTTCTGTCATAATATGGGAGGTGCAAGGTTAGTAGTTTTGCCAAAAAAAAATGACACTCAATTATGAAAGTTTCATAATTTGAATTGATTGAGGAACTGAAAATACAACTTTTTTGGTTCTCGATTTTTTTATATAATTTTACCCAAGAATACTGCAACTTTTGAATTTTCGTGGAATATTTAAAAAAATCACCCTGTAGAAAAAAAGTTGATGATACTCACTGTATTCAATATGTTTAAAAGATTTTCTAATGCAGGTAGTTGAGGTATCAATTTCTGTACAACTTTGGAGAATGCCTCAAAGATAGAATGATCATATATGGATGTCAAATGAAAACTTAAGTGAATTTGATCATAACCTGGAAAATATAAAGAAATGTATCAAGAATATCTATCTATAAACAAAAAATGTTTTTCATTTTCAAATGTTTTTTTTTATATTTTCCCAACTGTATAATGAAACATTGAAGAGTGCCTGAAAAGTTTATTGAATTTTTTTTAAGTTGGTGAATTAATTTTTATAATTAATTAAACAATTCTCACCTATTGAATAAAAATCATATTTCCATGATTGTGTCACAAAAATAATACAGTGAACCCTATTTCATCAAGGTCTGTTTCAAAATAGTACACTTCCTAATGAACTCAAAACCATTGTTAATAATTTTACAATATTCAAATAAACTATGAAATATGCCTGGAAACTTCCACTTGGCATAAAAAAACTTGATTTTATTGGGATTAAATATGAATAATGTATCAATGGCATTTTCTCATGATGTTATCAAGGTATTATGTAAATCATTTAGTAGGTACATTCTTTGGGATATATATGAACTAATTTGCTTATATTCCTTATAAGTATTTAATATAGTTAGCAGTGAGTTGTTATCTTATCATTACCTGAATCATTCAAATCATCTGTGGCTCTTTGATGAATATCTCTTTGAGATTCCATCTTGAAATCATCTCCCAAACCATCTACTTTATGGATAAAGACTTCAAATTTTATATTAGGATTGATTTTATAAGCTTTAGTAACAGTAAGATTCAGTTTATTCAAAGCTTCTATATAGTCATCCTGCAAAATCAGAACAGGATGATTTTTCAGGTGGAGCTGTATAAACCCACTGATACTGTACCTGTGCATCTATAACAAAAATTAGTGCTCCACATCCACCAAAAATCATATCATAATCAAAACTGGAATCAAAAAAATCAATCTGTCCAGGAAAATCCCATATTTGGAACTGCACAAAACTGGAATTATTTATGTCATCCTTCACTATTTTGTTTGTGCTTTCCAAAAATAATGTTTCGTTCGGTGACATTTTGTGGAATACAACCTTTTGTATTGAGGATTTTCCTGACCTCCGAAGCCCCATCAGTAAAATTCTAGGTTTCTGGTCTGCTGATGAAGACAAAATGTCATGGTCTCCATCAAAAGGCCCATAACCGAAGTCTTTAGGGAACGATCCAGCAGTTCCATCAAAAGGTACTCCTTCTTCATCATCTTGATAGGACTGAAAGAAAAATGATGGAATTTGAAGAATTTTCCAAGTGTACATAATTATTAGAAGATGGGCAAATAACGAATCTTGAATGCTTACCATTTTGCCTACATATAGAATGAAGGTCTATTAACCTAGATCAAAAAAAGATCCTTAACAAAAAGTACAATCAAAATTCAAAGTATAATCAAAATATTAAAAAAAAACACAATATTTTGCTAACAGTTCACGTTCACAGTAAACATCTGTGCTCAGATCTCAGTTCTCTGTATCACAAAACAGTGGACTAAGATCAGTGGACATAGATCACAGTGACAATCTAAATCTGACAAATGACATTGCGTGACAGTGGCAGTGGACCAGGGTTGCCAACGCCGTAAAACGACAGAACCGTACTTGGTTACTAAAAATTACTGTGTTGCGTAGCCCAGAACCGTACCTGGGAGTTTCCATATATTATTGGACAGCAATTTTAGTCGGCCAGGTTTTATTCTCAGTTTTTATTCTGATTGCAAATATCAACATATCTGATAGTAGGAGAGCCGGCTGCAGATTTCTACCGTTATCTGATAACGAAATGATGCAAACGTAGGGTTGCCTATATTTTTCCCGGTTTAACTATTATCTTGCCAGGTCAAAACAGGTATTTTGATCCTAGTTATTTTCGACTTCTTGTTGAATCATCAAATGAAATTATTTGTTCACAGATAATTGAAATAGTTTTTCACGATTATTTTGGCAGAAGAATCGTGTTTTTCGACTATTCAATAATTCAAGCATGCCATCACATTGTGCTGATGTACAATAATACACAAAAAATGTAGGTGAGGTACATTGTGATCAATTGTGATCTAAAAGTACTGTTGTGTAGTCACTCACATAATTGGTTTTCATTTTGAAATTTTGTCATTTCCCATTGGAATTCCTTCTGCAATAGGAGCTAATAGATAAATACTCGTGAAGTTTCTGAAAGAAGGCAAGAAGATTGGATTCGTGCAATCAAACGGGAGGACTGGTCTGATACCTGCTGACGAAATATGATCGTGTGTATTGAAAACAGTTTCACTCTTCACAGAAGTGGCAGAAGAAATTTCAATGAACAATGACATAATTTCATTATGAGAACTATGTGAGATCACTATTTGCCCTAAAAAATTTCGTCTCTCGTTGCATTTTTGTGCATTGTTCAAAAGAACAGCAATATGATGGTAAGCTTGAAACGAGTATCGCAAAGCAGAATTCGTATCACAAAATATTGTGAAAAACTATATCAATCCCTTGATTCCTTGAAAAGTGAGGTTGTGTTTCGATGTTTTACAGAAAAATGAGATTGTGTTTCAATGTTTTACCTCCAGGGTCGGTCATCGTGCACCATATACGTATTAATAATCAATACGGATAATCTCTATCTGTTTCCATAGCGAAACATGAAGCCGATTTTTGAAGACAAATGACTATCCATAAGGAAAAGTTTTGAAACGATCAGACACATACTGCTTTGATTGAAAGGCTAGTAAACGTCATTGTCCACCGAAACGCATGTCTTTGATGACTACTATAATAGCGCATGGCGCATGCGTATCATGGCACCAAATCCTTATGGATATTCATTTGTTTCATATTTTTGGCTTCATCCTGGCACCCGTTATGATCCGTATTGTTTATTAATACGTATATGTCGTGCACGCGACCTAGTCGTTTTGCAGGGAACAAAATATTAAAAATTTTGTTCTCATTCTAGAATCTAGATGTTATTTCATCTGTCAATTGTCAATACGAGCAATGTTTCAAAGTGTTATCATTTATCAATGCAATGTCGGAAAACATAGCCAATTTATGACAGCGGGCTTGCCTCAAACCATACGTGACCATACTTTCATAACATAGGTTGGCAACTCTGCTCATTGCTATCCATCCCACTGAACTTTTGGAACAAGTCTGTGGAACAAGTTTAGAATCTAGGAATAGTTAATTTTTCAATGTTTGTCGCCTTGTTCGAACTTGCCATTTGTCAGATGTCATTTCATTTAAATCTTTAAAGTCCATTTATTGGTGGGGGTAGTCAAGCACTAGAAAACGATTTTTATCGTGAATCGTGCATGTGAACACTTATCAAATTGTTAAATTACGTGCTTCATTCAGTTATCTGTGAAAATTGTGTGGAGTGGAAAACCTTTAGGGATACTCAGGTTATCGAAAAGTTGCAGTCAACTACGAGATATAATTCAAATGTTCCTATTACAAACTTTCAACAGGGATCATAAATTAATATGATGCACTCATAAATATTTAGATAAATGCATAGTGCACATGCAATTGATGAGATGACATTTGAACTGTGGAGAATTATCATGAAATTAACATAAGTGTTTTGTCTCTGCCAAACATAATACCATTTACATATATTTACAAAGATTTCCTTGCGTCTAGACCAAAATGTCTTTCACCAACATAGATGAGAGAATTTTCAGACAATCTAGATTGGGAGTAGCTAGAAACCTTTTTGATGCTGAAGTGCCTCATAGGATAGCCAGCTATGATAGATTCATCCCTTATAGAGCCAATAACAACTGGGAAACAAGTTTCTCTACCATTCCAGACCCAAATAAGAATACCCCCACTGGGAAAAAAGCTAGAGAAACTGGTGAGAATGCTAGAGACAGTTCAGTGTACAATATCTTATTAAGAAATGAACTACTTGGTGAAAATATTGAAGATGTTAAGTCACAGTGTGATGAGAGACAGGCTTTGACGCCAGTGAAAAGTAAAAATCTTTTTAAATATGGGACTCCTTCCAAGGTAAGTGTTTTTTTCTTCATCAGTCTGCTTAGTTTATTTTCTGTAACCCCAGTTGTATCCCATAAGATTTATTCTGGGTTTTTCAATATTACTCATCATTTATTCAGAATTTGAAGTGAAGAACATTTGGTTGTATGTTGCTAGGTACACCTATTTTAATAGTCATTCCTGAGACCCTCTTATACCAGCTCTTAGAATCATTCTAATGCATATTCATTCCTTTTTTTACTTGATTATTACCCAGATTATTACTTATAGTACTGTTGATATAATCAATACAAAATAAATATCTCAACAAATGTTCTCCTTTTCTGTGGGCGTAAGCAGTGGCGGATTTAGGGGAGGGAAGCATCATTTTGGAGAATCTTCCTGTAGGTGTCAATGAAACACTTTCAAGGATACTTTTCTATTTATAATTATATAAAATTCCTTCATTTTCCATATTTCCTTATCAAAATAGTTTTCAGTTCCATAGATTCTTTGGGATGTCCTTTTCTCCTTTCTATGAATGAAAATTTTAGTGTTATTTTAATATATTCCTAGTGAGGATAATGGTAGATTGTCACAAAATGGCACTGTGTTGAAAAAAATTTACTTTCAGAAATCTGGAGAAGTAATCTCAGATATCAACTCTCAGTAACACCTTGTATGTCCTTACTACAAATGTAATAGAATAATACTAATATGTTCATGCAAAGAAACAAGATAGAAAATTCCAAAACATCTCAATAAATGAATATTCACCTACTGGGTTCACCTACAGACACTGTATAAATTACTTTTTGCTTGCTCTGCATTTAGTTTTCATTTTATATTGATTAAAACAAAATGAGAACATGGAACTAAAATGATATATTAGAAAATTGTGTAATGAAATCATTGTCAATCTAGAAAAAATCTAATTTGAAAGCATTTGACCTTGAACCCCAACAAAATTTTATCCGCGGCGCATTTTTTACAATGCAGAAATGTATGCCCCCTCCTCATAAAAATCCTAGATCCACCCCTGGGCGTAAGTGATGTAGCATTGCCATGCCACATGTGATATTATGCCTCATATCTCAATATTAGTCATTGGCATATTTTTACCATTATTTGCTAATGATAGATTTCCCGTGCTAATTGATGTTAATTACCATAGAAAAGCACTACCCCATTTTAAACCAATCTGCTGACAAGTAACAAGTTAGGTATGTCTTAAAATGTATGTAAGTAGGTAGCCTTAATAGCTTATTGTCTGACGTCTAGCCATAATCATTTTACCAAACACTAGCTATCACTGGAGTTATCAATTATTCCTCAAATATCATTGTTACTTTATTGTCAATATTATTGATGGACTGTAACATTATTTTTAAGTATTGAACTAAACATGCAATTTGATAGCCTACAGTATCAGCAAATAACTACACTATCAATTCATTATTATTAGCCAACAGTTATTATATCAGGATGAACAAATAAACCAACTCCAAATCATGATTCATTAGCTGAATTTTGATTGCGAATTTTACGGAATTTCCCCCAGAAACTGTGAAATTTAAAAAATCAATTCTTATGTGATATGTGAGTTTTCCCGAATTGCCCTGCAGTGTAGGACCTCAGAGAAGAAAAATAAACAAAATTTCCACAATGACTTTTGTCCGAGGTTATGTCCTTCTCTAGGATATGATGTATGATGCGAGGTCTGACGATTTTGGAGAAGTGACCACCCTGTACACGCACTATGACGAGTGAGCCTTCAAACAGTGAATCATAGCTATAGCTAGCTACCATTCTATTCTCATAGGCATTACATTTCTTCTAATTAACATATTCTATCCATGAATTGTATATCAATGTATATATACAGGGTGTTTCATAATTGAATGCTGATCCTCAAGGGCGATAATCCTTGGATGATTCCAAAGAGAAAAGTTCATATCAACATATGTCCTAAACCTCTTAGTTATTGAGCTACAGGGTGATGAAATTTCGAGAAAAAAATTAGTTTTTCATCATAATTTTTTATCACTCTTAGATATTGTTATGATATTTCGTATACACCTTTTCATTATTGAGGAGCATTTTTTACGCGAAAGATTTTTAGTAATTCTCACCAGTGGCGTCCGTACGGGGTTTGAACTGACAATTTTTGAAGAAAAAAATAGTACGCCACTGATTTTCCGGAGAACCAGATTCTTTTTTCAATTGTTATTCATTTTGGAGCAAATTTGGTTCCTAGACTTACTTTCATAGAACGTACGGTTTTCACGTAAAAAAATAAAAACCCGAGTAAAAACCAAAGAATTTTGTTCCTTCAGTTCTTGGATATTGTTTTTGGCGAGGTTTTTGGTGATTCAGTAGACACCCACTATAAGTGGAAACACATTTTGTTTTGGGACGAAAATCAAACTTTTACTTTTACCAGTGACGTCCTCGTAGACCTGATATTGAATGTTTTGTTTAAAAAAACGCTGTACCTACGCTTCTGATTTCAACACCCTGTAGCTCAAAAACTAAGAGGACATATGTTGATATTTGATATGAACTTCTCTCCTTAAAATCATCCAAGGATCATCGCCCTTTAGGATCAGCATTCAATTATGAAACACCCTGTATATACAGTGTGACCCACTTCTAATGGAACCGCCCCTGTATCTTACGTAATCGTTGGGTAATGATCCTGAAATTTGCTGGAGCGAGAGATATACCAAAAATGCACTCTATGACCAAGTGGGGTCATCTTCAGTGATATACACTGCTCGCCAACAGCCATGAAACCACCCCAATTTCCGGAAAATGATATTAGGAGTCAAAATAGGTCGAAAATCACTGCAGATTTGGAATCAGGACGCCCAATTTACTAACTATTCAAATTTTTCCTGGAAAATTTTCAGTTCGGAAAAATGAAATTTTGTCGCATTTTTTATGGAAGCACCCCCGTATCTCACGTAATTGACTTTATCTTTGGACTTTTCCTTCCTCCTGCAAATTTCAGAACCCCACCTCAATAATAACGTGGGATACGGGGGTGCTTCCATGAAAAGCGAGATGAAAAGTGAGACAAATATTAATTTTACTGAACTGAAAATCATCGATCCAAGAGTATTTTTCCGAGTTTTCTGCATAGCAAGCGAATCATATACATTTTCACACACGGGATAAAAATTTGATTTATAATTCAATCTCAGAAGAATATGAAACTTGAAAAAACAGTGGCGTACAATAATATTCATCATAAATATCGATAAGATAGCCCACTGCAACGACGCCACTGGAATTATTATTTCGATTTCAATTTTACCAATAGAAGCTTTATATTACTGATAACAAAACCACCAAGTTTCATTGAAATTGGCTAAAACATTGATGGTCTGTATCTCGAACAAAATAAGTTAGGCCCAACGTTCATTGCACTTTTTTTCATAAAATATGACAGAGAAAAAATCATCCCCTCGCATTTATTCGTTCATACATACCCTATATTTTTGAATATATTTTTTTCAAGAGCAGCAGATGGTATTAATTAAACTTTGATGGTGACCTGATGAATGAAAACCATCAAAATACCTACAAAAATGTTCGGTTCTTCTAGAAATCAGGACTTTTTAACGGTCGAACACAAACTTATCAGTAGGTACTGCGGTGTTTCCGTTCCATGTTTCCCCACGGTAGTTAATTTATTACTTATTATTATTTTTTTAATTTTATCACAACATGACGGTTTTGCATAAACAGAAACTATATAAATTATCACATCGACTGGGTAGAGGTATGGGAGGGGGGGGGGAGTCAACGTACATTCCCCTAGAACGTCGTGAATATATTATTTTGGAGGAATTCAGTCAATCCAAAACATTCACGTGAAGATAAAAATGCTCATCAGAGTGGGAAATCCGAGGGGAAATCTGTCGTAAAACAACAAACCCAAATCATCTTCAGAAAACTGCACATCATGACTTTCTATGAAATTATTGAAAAATGAACATTATTAAGCAACAGATAAGAAATCAATATTGACTTTATTTATCATGAGGCCATTATGTGAAATGTTGAAACATTGTATGTGAAATACTTCAGAATGTTATTCATCGAGGTATTCATACTCAATTCAGATGCAATCTTATAGAACGTGAAAAAATTAGTATCTGCGAGAAATTTTCATGATTTATCTCAAACCGTTTCGAACTTTTTATCAAAAAATGATATTCATACTCGTATTTTCAACATCCTATGTCTCGATAACGACGCTTTTAAAAGTATATGGTAATGAGAACTTTTTTTTATAATTTCAACGTGTACAACACACTGTTGCATTTTTTTGTATTACAAACCGCACCACCCTGTGGAGCTAACGATGATGTCGATCATGAAAATAGAAACGTCGACATTCAGAACTATCGTTACCTACATATGAAAAGTGTGTCTTGAAAAAGAAACTGAAAAAAAGATGAGTCAAATGTGGATTCGACTTTTTCATTACTACAACACAGCTAAAATAAATCCACATACCCATTACAATCTCAAAATAACTTTTTATATAAATAGATTTTAATGAATATTAAACGAGAACTATTATGACTCGATTTGAAAATGGAATGGAATCCGATTCTGCAATGATATACAGGGTGAGTAAAAAATGTGTAATCAGCTTTCTGGATGAGATAGAACATTGAAAAATAAATAAACTAATGGCCCAAAATGTGTATTAAGGGAGATACGGGGAGATATATCCTTCCAAAGTTGATTCAATTAAAATAGTTTTTCCTCATAACTTCAAGAAACGGTAGAAGCCACCAAATTGAAATTACGTGCATAAATGTGTGTTGATGAATTACAGTTTTTTGATACACTTCTACATTTCTGCTATATTTATGTAGGTTGTTTTTAGAGGGTGGGTTATGATTTTTTGAAGACAACCATTTTCCTTGTATTCTTTTCGGTGAAAAAATCTGATAGAGAGAAGAAACGGTTGATTTCTTCGTAGTTTGATAAGAGTACCTTTTTTATGTAATTTCCTTCGGTTTATCGAATGCTCCTGTTTTTTCATCAAAAATTGAACAGGGAAAAAAGTTGTCTTCATAAAATCATGAACCACCCTCGAAAAACATATTTTATAACTATTGCAGAAAAGAAGTGCATCAGAAAAATGTATTTCATCAACATAACATACATGCATGTAGGAAATTTCAATTTGGTGGCTTTACCGTTTAGAATTCATGCGGAAATATTATTTCAGTTTCAACAACTTTGGAAGGATATATTATATCTTACTTAATACACGCATTTTGGGCCATTAGTTTATTTATTTAACTATACCCAATTTTCAATGTCCTGTCACCTCCAGAAAACTCGAAAAACATTTTTGACTCACCCTGTATATCTGAAGATTTTTCTTCGGATTTGTCTTTTCTTCGAGGATGATTTGAAATACTATTTTTTCTCACTGCTTGTTCAACAAAACTGTCGAAAATTCCTGTGATCTCACTTTTTCTTATCGCTTTGAGCGCACGAAAGGAAATCCCTATAATGTTCTAAGCTAAAAACATCGTGCGTACCTAGAGAGGCTACGGAGAGGAGGTAGGTATTGGAATTTTCTAGAAACTTCTGGAGATTCTAAGCTCTTGGAAATACATCCCCATCAGATGATGAATTCCCTCGTGAATTCCAGATCTTTGCCGTTCTATAGATAAACGAGTTTTGATGTGGCGTTGCTCGACATATTTCGAAGTTGACAACGAAAGAATGTGCTGACTGTGCTTGTCGAGGTCGCCTGACTGGTATTGCTAGTGATGGAATGATAGCAGAGATTTCCGGATAACATTTCCCGCGGAAGTCTATATAGAAAAGTGAAAGGTCGCCGACCTTTCTACGGTGTTCCAATGTTATCAAAGAGTTAGTGAGTGTGGCATCACCCACCAGGCGAATGGATCTTCTCGGGATGGAATCTGAGACCATCAGCGTATATTTAGGTGCTGACCGGAAAAAAACCGCTAATATAAAATCGTATAAAATAATGTGTTTTTTCCTCCCGAGTTACCTGTTCTTTGAAGATTGGGTTTGTATACAGGGTGAAGCGTGATAACATTCATACCATAACAATCTCGTGAGCAATGCAAACGATAGATACTTATTACCGAGTTTATTACTAATTTTGAATGTCCATATTTCGAAAATTCATCAATTCAGGTATGTTTAAAACTTTATGAAGAAAGTAAATATTGAATGGAAGTGAAATTTGAGGTAGGTATATCATTAAAAAAATCACTGATGATGTTATATTGTCAGAGTGTTATTTTTTCTCAAAAGTCCAAATTACGAATTAATTTATCCGGGATTTCAAAGACGTGTAAGAACTTTTGCAGCTACCCATTCGAAAAAAATTAGTTATAAAAAGGCTGTTTTGAATATCCCCATTATGTTCGTGGGGTAGTTTTTTAATTTGCCAGCGGCATTCAAAAATCAACTTAAATATTTCATTGAATGACAAAACTCAAGGAAAACAAAATTTTTCTCAGGTTATTGATAAAAAGTAACACATCAATAAATCACAAATGTGACATGTGAGTTTATTACTATTTTTAAATGTCCATATTTCAAAAATTAATCAATTCAGGTATGCTTAGGACTTTGAGGAAATTAAATATTGAGTGGAAGAGAAATTTGAGGTGGGTATATCATTAAAAAAAATAACTGATGGTGTATTATTGTGATAGTGATATTTTTTTCTCAAAAGTCCAAATTACCAATTAATTTATACGGGATTTCAAAGACGTATATAGAACTTTTGCACATTTCGAAATAATCAACTCACCAGAAAATTTGTAAAATTCGATGTAAGTAGTACCTACCAATAGTACAAAAGTCCAGGCCCATTTTACTTTAAATTATTTTCTCTTCATAAATATATTTTTTTTCTCTCTAGTTTCACAGAAATAAACTATGTATCAAGTAATTATAAAAAATTGAAAGGACACAACAACTAAACACTAAGCGTTTTCCTGGTGGATTTTCATTTGTTAAAGCATTCCTGAATGCCGACGTTTCTCCCTTTACTGAAGTCATCTTCAGTGTTGCGCGTGAGCGGAATTTGGTGAAACTGACGATCACATGTTCAATCATCCTATATATAGGAAGGCTTTCATCTCTGATGAGGAATAGGTGGTTCAATTTCAAAAATATTGAAATTTCTTATACTGTCTCTAACGGTATTTCGGGTGTTAGCATCTAATTTAGTTTTTTTTAGTTTCAGTTGGATGCGTAAAAGAATACATTCATCAAGTCAATATTAATTTCGAAATTTCGGCTGGAATTTTATTGGCAATTAGTCATTGGGCGAGCTTTTCGTATTATTTTAGTAGCTATTTTTGCTTTTTAATAATTCATACCGTCTCATCTAATCCTCATAACCATGAAATTTATTTCGCTTGCAAGTTAATGAAGGGCGAGTATTGTTTAGAAATTTTCACGCTCGTTAGGTACTTGCCGAGATGATGTTGAACTGTGTGCATACAAGGTGTTTCCAAACTAGAAGGACAAGAAGAATACGGAAATTTTCACCTTCTCGTCGCAATTTCCATTTTTAAGTTAGCAGCCTAAGGTTTTTTGTATGCCACCCGGTAAGGTATGTACAGGTTGACCTATCATAAATTCTCCTCCTGTAACTCTCTTGTTTATAACGATATGTTGAAATTTGTTTACATCGATATGTACTTATACAGGGTGTTTCATAATTGAATGTCAATATTCGAAGAGGCGATTTTTGGGCACATTCTAAGAAGAAAGTTTCATATGAACGTATGACCTAAACATCCTAACTTTTGAGATACAGGGTGGTAAAAATCTCAAAAATTAATATAGCCTATACTACAATGATAGGTTATAATTCCAAAATACCAATTACGAATACGAAGTTTACAAACTATGAATAGTATTTCTGAAATTTGATCTAAAAAATTTAATTTATATCTTTGCATTGTGATATGGTATAATCATGTAGTGAAAAGCTTTTTATTTTTTTAAGCGAAAACCGTGCATCAGATTGAGAAAATTTTGGTGATCAAATTTGCTTAGAAATAATTGGGTATTTCAGGAATAATTTCAATTTCGAGATTAATCATCAATGTCTGCCAAAATAGGTATGTGAAATTCCATACGAACGCCACTGGTGGCAACAACAAAAAAATATGGTACATATCTGAAGTGGCACTGGGACGAAATAGCGCAGGACAAAATAGCGCAGGACGAAATAGCGCGGACAAAATAGCGCAGGGACATAATAGCGCAGGGTCATAATAGCGCAGGGTCATAATAGCGCAGGGACATAATAGCGCAGAGACAAAATAGCGCAGAGACAAATTTGAGCGCGAAAATGGAGTGCAGGATCTATGATTAGGTTAGTTTGTTTCGAGGTTTGTTTGCTAGGGTATAGACTCATTTTGAAACACCTTGTATTTGAAGAATGAGTCTTTACTCTAACAAACGAACAAACCTAATCATAGATCCTGCACTCCATTTTCGCGCGCTATTTTGTCTCTGCGCTATTTCGTCTCTGCGCTATTATGACCCTGCGCTATTTCGTCTCTGCGCTATTTCGTCTCTGCGCTATTTCGTCCCTGCGCTATTTTGTCCTGCGCTCTTTTGTCCGCGCTATTTTGTCCTGCGCTATTTCGTCCCAGTGCCATCTGAAGTGATATTACAGATATTAATAAAAAACTATTAAGTTTAAAGAACTTCACCACCCTGTATATCAAGAGTCAGGACGTTTAGGTCATACGTTCATATAAAACTTTCTTCTCAAAATGGGCCCTAGAATCGCCTCCCCAACTTTTGACATTCAATTATGAAATACCCTGTATAATGAAAAACTGAACAAAAGTAATAAAACAGAGGCTCTGAGCGTTTAGCGAAGCCGAGCGAAAGCAAAATTTGCGAGTCGAACAAAGTCACTTTTGATCCGAATGAAACATGCTATTTTTTCTGCAACCGAAACAATATTAACTCAAATAAACATGTGAAGTAACCACCAATGCCGTGCCATATGTATGCAATGCAACAAATATGGACAAATAATCCATGTGGTGAGAATATTCTACCTGCATTTACAGCAGGTTAGTTTTTCTAGGATGTTCGAATTGTAGTTTCAATATAAATACAACCACAGAGTGACATATTTCTGTATGGACCAGGTGCTCTAATGGCAAATACCGCGCCAGTGCCAGGTATAGGAACAAGACGTGGAAAATGTTAGGTTAGTGAGCATATCAACAATATTAATAGCGATTGTATATTCCTCTCCATACTACACTGTGTTTGACTTGATAATCAAATCGAGGTAAACAATATCGTTGTTTGAAACAAAAAGCTATTGCTTGCCGAAATTATTCAAATACAAGTTATCCATCCCGAGAATAACGAATGAAATACAGATCAAGAAGTATGTGAATATTGAAGGCTTCCCTGATCAAAACAAAAATACTCATCTGAGATGTTTATTATTCCTATGCTTAACTATAATAAGGTGTATTCATATCTCCAGATTGGGTATGAAATGAAAGTTCAACTTTAACTACTAGGAACTAAATATGTTGCCTAGCAACATAGTTATTTTTGTGTCAGTATAATAGAAACGTCAATTCAAGAGCTAATTTTGATAGTGAAATGGACGGCTTTAGTGTCGGTTGCAGAAAAAATCATGTATGTATTTCTTTATAATTTTTATTTTGAAGCTAGATAAATCGATAAAAATATTGGGTGGTTTGACACAAGGGTGATTTGATCACACCATTTTGGAGATATTTTGCTCCCACAATTTCCACAATTTTTTGAAATTTTTTGTATGTTAAATAACCCAGATATTTGCTAGCTCAATACCTCTGGGGACACCTGATATAAGGTACGTCCTGTATATTAAAATAAGTTAATTGGCGACGGTGATACGGAATGCATATACATTCAATGTACGTTCGAGACAGGAAGGATATCTATTCAAATGTGCTTTAATTACTTGAAGTGGTGTGGTGACGTATTTTGAGTTGCCCTAAATGGTACGATTTGAAGATACGGTACCTAAAATGTTTTTGGGGTTATCGCCTGTAGGCGACTTGATTAGATGCAGACAGGGAAATATTCAAAAATCTATATTGTAAGGTTATCACCCCCTTTGTCTGTGTTAGTTTCTAATTTATGCATTCGTTGAATTCTTTCCAATTCCGAGTATTCTTCAGTAAAAGCCATAGAAATCATATTAGGCATTTGTTTACTAGTAAACAGGAAAAATGAACCTCATAGTTTTGTTTATCGTCTTCTTAAAACAACATTATCGGCGGGTTTCAAGGTCATCATCTGACGTTGCGATGACGTTTAGCAATGAGAAATAGTTATTTATTATACAAGAGAAAAAAGTAGTAGATTTTAGCTCCAGGTTGTCGGGAGACAAAAAACCGTGAGCTAAAATCTAATATTTTTCCCGTGTATAATACACAATTTTTTTCTGTGACAGAAGGAAGGACGAATCAATATTGAGAAGATATCAATATTGAGAAGATATTACATTATTTCGAAATCTGAAAATTATCGACGTGAAATTTCAAGTTTTTAACAGTAGGGACACCTGCGTTTTATAGGCATCTTTATCATTCTTTTGAATTAATCAAATATCTGATGTCACTCCTGTCAGTTCAATTCTGTGATTGTATGATTGATCAGTAGTTGTTTAGTAATACACGAAACCGCGAAGTCGAATGGAAGATAAAAAGGACTTGCAGTTCTTTCTCGGAGACGGTATTATTGACTCATTTTTCGGAACTATAGCACAACAAAAGCCATTAACAGAGTATATATATGTGATATATATCCGGGAAAAAAGTACTCACTTTTTTCCCACGGGAAAAAAGTAATTTATGAAAAGTGACATTTTATAACCTGCCAACAGAGATGAAATGCCAAACTTTTTTCCCGTCACAGAAAAAACGTTTTTTTTTCTGTGAAAGTTTAACATTTCATCTCTGTTGACAGGTTATTAAATGTCATTTTTCATAAATTACTTTTTTCTGTGACGGGAAAAAAGTTTGGCATTTCATCTCTGTTGGCAGGTTATAAAATGTCACTTTTCATAAATTACTCTTTTCATAAATTACTCTTTTCTGTGGGAAAAAAGTGAGTACTTATTTCTCGGATATATATCACATATACATATATACACTGTTGATGGCTTTTGTTGTGCTATAGTTCCGAAAAATGAGTCAATAATACCGTCTCCGAGAAAGAACTGCAAGTCCTTTTATCTTCCATTCGACTTCGCGGTTACGTATATTACTGAACAACCACTAAATTCACAAATTTTTGAAATCAAATCACAGAATTAGACTGACAGAAGTGACATCAGATATTTGATTACTTCAGAAGAATGATAAAGATGCCTATAACGCAGGTGTCCCTACTGTTAAAAACTTAAAATTTCACGTCGATAATTTTCAGATTTCAAAATAATGTAATGTCTTTACTACTATTTTTCCATCGGGAAAAAAGTGAGTACTTTCTATGCTGCTTGGAAAAAAAAATACATTACTGGAGTGCATTAAAGCGAGACTGAAGACTGTAGTTTGAATACCTATAGGACGTTCCAATATCTGAGAAAATATACAGGTAGCAGCAAAAAGTGTACGAGCTTCAAATAGACAATCCCAAGAAAAATTGTTGAGAAATATAGAAGTTGATTATATTGAGTGGGACATTTTTATAAAGCTCTTCGAGAGATATTTCCGATTACGAAATATACAGGGTGGATCACGGTCGATGGTACCTTAGACGTTCACGGAGAACGGAACATATAGGATCATTCTGAAAATTTGGTTACTCAATTAGTTGGTCTATCGATCTAAAATATTATCGACAATGCAGTGTTGCCGCTTCAATCGAAAAGTAGCAATCAATCACCTCATTCAAAATACTTTTGACCATGCAGTGTTGCCGCTTCTACTAGAAATCAGTAGCAACATTGATATTCCAAATGGAACACCCTGTGTTATATCAGATTCTTAGATTCTCCCTGAAGAGCTGATTTCATCAATGTATCACACTTGGGGTCTATCCAAAAGATATCATGGATATAGTGTGTTCAAAATCGAGATTTCTCAACTTTAGGATTTTTTTGTGTCGAAACTATTCATTATCGGTCAAAACGGTTCACATGTCCCTATCTCAAATTTCAATTCACTATTTACTGATATTTAATCGGAACAGATACAGGGTGGTTCAAGATTCAGAATTCTGTGAGCCGTTTTGGCCGATAATGAATAGTTTAGACACAAACAAATCCTAAAGTTGAAAAATCTCGATTTTGAACACCCTATATCTCTGTAATTATTTCCGATAGACCCCAAGTGTGATGTATCGATGAAATCAGCTCTTTGGGGATAATCTAAAAATGCAATAAACTACAGGGTATTCTATTTGAAATAAAAAAGTTGTTGCTACT